TTTTTTTTGAAAACCGAAATCTTGCGAAGCCTACCAATATTGCGATAGGCATATTCGGAGGTTGCTATATTCTCAGAAACGGGATTTCGTTCTTTTCTGAAAATCGCATCTTTACTCCATTTCGCAAAATTGTTTTCAAGTTCGCAGTTTGTAAAAGCCGAAATTTTGCGGAACTCTAGCCTAGATCTCGTTCATAGTACTCTTCCGACATGTCCTACTCATAAAAGATCGACAGATATACAAAAAAAAAAAGAAAAAAAAAAGGAAGTAGTCCTGTTTTATTTTTTTATTTTATTTATCTGTTGATTAGGGCCGGAGGAAAGTATTGTTGGGTTGGTTACCTACCTGCGTTTTCCCTCCCACCCACCCCTTGCATGCATCCCGGATCGGTACAGTGCCACGTCAGCAGTGCCACGTCAGCAGTGCCACGTCACAGTGCCAGATCAGCAGTGCCACGTCACAGTGCCAGGTCACACTGCCACGACAGCAGTGCCACGTCACAGTGCCAGATCAGCAGTGCCACGTCAGCAGTGCCAGGTCACAGTGCCATGTCAGACTCAGTGCCACGTCAGCAGTGATGTCAGACAGTGCCACGTCAGCAGTGCCACGTCAGCAGTGCCACGTCAGACACAGTGCCACGTCAGCAGTGCCACAACAGCAGTGCCACGTAAGCAGCAGTGCCACGTCAGCAACATGACGGGCCTGCCAGGCCAACTGCCCAACGAGTCCCTTGCCGCCTACAAGCAGCGGTTCCAGGCTCAGATCGAGGCTGACGAACAATGCCAGCTGGCAGCCGAGGCTGCCCGCGTACAGGCTGAAGAGGCAGCAGCAGCAGAGCAGCTGCGGCTACAGGCCGATGCAGACACAGATGCCCAGGCTCGCCGCAAGGAAGCCCAGGATCTGCTGCAGCGGCATGAAGCCAACAGCATCGACAGACTCAAGTTTTGGCACTTTGAACCGAACGGCGACGAGGCAACACCGGAAGAGAAGCACAAGGAGTTCCTCTCCAAACTCGTGACAAGGTTGTTGTACGTGCAGTAAACCGCGTTCAGCAGCGGCCTGGGCGCTGTAACCCAAGCCCAGGCCCAGCGAGCAGTGCAACCACGCGCTGCTCGGCCTCAGGCCGCTGCGGGTGCTGTGTGACCACGCACAACAAGAAATTCAAAGGTCAAAGTGAACTGTAGGTCCAGGTACCTCGCCCAGGCCCTTGGTCGTGTGCATCGACTTGTATGTGTGCAGGTACCCAGTCAGAACGGTGGACCAAGGAGGATACAGTTTCAACCCAATCCAGGCCGTCGACGACAATCGATCTCGACCGTGTCTGACTTGAGGACTGGGGCCCAGACCCCGCCGTCAACACTACATATTGGGCTGACTTCCTGGATTTGGGGGAGACTCTCGTCTGGAGTCGAGGGGGACTCGACGCTCTCGCGTCAAGGCAGGCTCTATGCTGTCTTGTTGGCGAGACGCTGCGGGGAGAACTGGACGACCGGCGCTCGTCGCTGGTTCGTGGCTTGAGTGTGTTGTGCGACCAGCATGCTGGCTGGCGCACTATTGTCTGAGGGGTTGTCGACATGGCAGATGCCACGTGTCATCTTCGTGGCTGCTGCCACGTAGTATTGCTGCTGAGATGGAAGGCGCTGGGCGCCTGTATTGCTGTTCTGCTTGACAAGTATTCGGAAGAAGGATTCAGGACTGTGGTTTGGGTCGTGATACGTACCTGGTGTCTTCAACTTCGTCGTCACGTTGCTGCTTGATGACTGGTYTTCTGGTGCCACGTGGCACTATTGGTCTACAGTGTCTTGGATATCCGGATCTCTGCTTGAGACACGATTATGCGGTTAGGAGGAGGAAGTGCCCGAAGAGAAAGTGGGCTGTAGGGAGGAGACTCTTCCACCCTCTCAAAGTCTATTCTCCCTCCTCCCTCTCTCGTCTGTGTATGTCTTCTCTCTCATTGGGAATCATTATTATTTTGATTTATCAGCAGCGTTCGTCTACTTTGTCTTTCCGAGTGACGACTGATTATCATGACTGGCCACATTGCATACGCTTGCGACTACCAACGGTCAGAGTTGGAGAGACAGTACCAGGACCTGACGCAACAGCATCAGGAGTTGGCAAAGCTCCGCCGCATAGTGCAGAGCCACGAGGATGCAACTCGGGCACTCAATGCCCGATTGCTGGACCTGGAACAGGCTGTACCAGGACCAGCTGCTGGGGCTTCCAGCAGTGCACCCTCTAGCCGCCAACTGAAGGACCGCGTTGACCACGTAGTGGCAATGCTCGGCGACATCAGCACCTTCGCTGCGCCGACCACCACCATCAGCAGTCAGCTGCATACATTGAAGACCGAGGTCCAGCAGCTGCAGACGACGAACGCGGATGGCAATCCGAAGATGTACAAGATGCCAACTTTCAACCTGGAAAAGTTCGACGACTACACGCAGCAGGATCCGGTCCTCTGATGGGAAGCATTCACAACACAACTCAGGATTCTGCCCGTAGCCAAGCATGTGTACATCGGCGCCTTGTTCCTGAACTCAAAGGGCGGATGCCAGACCTGGTTGAGCCACCTAGCAACCTCCCACGGCGTCGACGTACCAGACTTGAAGGACAAAATCACATGGGAGGAACTGACACGGCTGTGGAAGAAGAGGTTCATCGTCGACGACGCGCCGGCACTCGCCATAACCCGTCTGTTCACCATGTCACAGGGCAACACTGCAACACGGGACTGGCTCACGGAGTGGCAGAAGATTGCGTCAGTGCCCAATCTGGACTTTCCATTCATACATCTCAGACGTGAGTTCTACAACAGATCCTGCGCTGCATTGAGCCAGGCTCTTGGTAATCGCGAGCAGTACTCCACTTTCGCCGAGATTATCGACAAGGCGAGGGAGATCATCAAGACCAACAGGTCAGCTACACACGAAGTCAACATGGCAGCCGACCTATGTGGAGAAGGTACGAACTGGACTCCAGCATCAAGTGACGGAGATCAGGTGGCTGCTGTCCAGCCGTGAAGCAACAACAAGTCCCGCAACAATGGGAAGGCAAAATCCGCATTGCAGGCCGGAAATGGACAGCCAGTACAAGTTCCATGGGTCAAGTTCGGCTTGACGGAGGCGGAGTACAAGGTCCACGGCCGCTACGGTAGCTGCTATTGGTGCAACAGCACCAAGCACAAGACGTCCCTGTGCCAGGATCAGGGCAAGGAGGATGTGCGACCCCGCCTCAGCTCGGGAAACTGAGCTCCGCGGAAGGTGAGGCGACTCCACCTTCTACTCCGCCAGATTCGGCCGCCTTGCTAGCGGCCTCCTGCACATCTGGGGAGAACGCGAATGTCACAAGTCCTCGGTACACTTACGAGGATTATGCTGTCCACTTGGTTCCACCGCTAGACCAGCGGCTCCACGTGCAACAGTCCACCGCATGCACGGTTTCATCACCATCGGCAACCGATTCGGCAGCTTCGCCGCAATCTATCGCCGGGGATTCGACGTCATGGTCAAGACTTGAATAACTCGACCCATTGACGTTCACGGACTTCCAATGGATGCCCATCCCCTCGACCGGACGATTGCCGAAACTGCATTGCAATGTGTTCATGGCACAACTGCGGGACTACTTGCACACTATAGGTGCAACAATCCTGGAGTATCTGGTGATGAATCGCTGGTAGTAGCCCGCCAACCTCATGAATGAACGAACGTCCGTGGTGTTGGTGGGCTCGGGCCATACTCGTAGGGCCTCGATCTTGTCCGCAAGCGGACGGATGCCTTGCGGCGTGACATAGTGTCCCAAGTACTCCAGCTCCTGCTGTGCGAACTCGCACTTGTCGCGGTTTGCTTTGTACTTGGCTTGTCGTAGCCGCTCCAAAACGGTGCGCAGGTGTTCCACATGCTCGTCCAAACTGCGACTGTACACCAAGATGTCGTCGAGGTAGATGAGTACAAAACGATCCAGCATCTGTCGGAACTCCGTTGTCATAGCCGCCTGGAAAGTGGTCGGGGCATTCGTAAGGCCAAATGGCATGACCAGCCATTCAAAATGCCCATACCGTGTCTTGAACGCGGTCTGGTAGCGATCCTCCTCGCGAATCTCGAGTTGGTGGTACCCTGACTTGAGATCCAGCTTAGAGAAGAACTGGGCGCCGCCCAATCGCTCGAGAAGGTCATCGATGCATGGGAGAGGGCCGGCGTTCCTGATCGTCTGCGCGTTGAGCTTGCGATAGTCGATGCACAACCGGAGGTCCTTGTTCTTCTTCCGGACGAAGAGAACAGGAGCACCGTATAGCGGTGAGCTAGCCCGAATCCAGCCTTTCTCCAAAAGGTCGTAGAGTTGTGCCCGAAGCACACTTAACTCTTCCTCGCTCATTCGGTAGATGCAACCGCGCGCAGGTACGGCCCCGTCCTCGAGGATGATCTCGTGGCGGATGGGTCGATCCGGTACTACTCCGTGCGGGCCTTCGAACACGTCACTGTAGGCGTCGAGAAGCTCGGTGATGCGTGGATCCGAAGATGAGTCCGTCGATGAAGCGTCTCGGGGCGGGAGGGCGTGGAGAAAACACACCCCCATCTCCTCGATGTCGTCTCTGATGATGGAAGCTCGCATGCTTGCGGCGGATACCACGTGGCAGCTAATCGAAGGGTGAGGAAGAGGCACCGTGCATGGAACTAATACTCCGTTTCGATCACGAACGTGAACGGTGCGGTTGAAGAAGTTCACCGGGTGATCCTTGCTTCGCAGCCATGATATGCCCAAGATCATGTCGAATTCGGTGTCCAGAATATCAAAGGACACCGCCTCACTTGCGTGAGGGGCAAAGTACACTGGGACGTCGTCAATGCACTGGTCGATTGACTTGTGCGTGTGACCGTCCGCCAATGTGACTTGCGTCGGCTGGGGCTTCCTCCGGACACGTGGGCCAAGGCCGGCACGTACCATGAAATCCTGGCTGATGTAGTTGCGAGATGCTCCGCAATCGATCAAGGCGTTGCAGGTCGCCTCTCCGATCTGAATGCGTACATATAGCAATGGTGCGTCGATGTCGTCGTACCGTTGCGTCTTGAACTCACGGTCGATCTTCGCAATGTAAGCGTGAATTTCGACTACCTCTACTTCGGCGTCCATCAATGGAGCTGGTACTACGAGGTTACAGTCGCCAAAGGTGCCATTCGTATTCGATGACGACGCACGCCGGTCACTCCAAGCACTTAAGACGGCTATGCTCATGGCACCCGTCCTTAGCATCTATGACCCCACCCTGCCGACGCGAGTGACTACGGACGCTTCCGGCTATGGCATTGGGGCAGTCTTGGAACAGCACGACGGCGACGACTGGCACCCTGTGGAGTATTTCAGCCACAAAGTGCCACCCATCAACTCGCTTGATGATGCAAGGAAGAAGGAGCTGCTCGCATTCGCGATGGCTCTCAAGCGCTGGCGGCACTTCCTCCTTGGGCGTCGTAGGTTCACATGGGTCACAGACAACAATCCATTGACCTACTACAAGACGCAGGACACGGTGAGCAGCACGATCGGACGATGGATGTACTTCATCGACCAATTTGACTTCACACCGAAACATGTCCCCGACCTCTCCAATCGCGTAGCAGATACACTCTCGCGAAGACCTGATCTTTGCGCTATGACACATCATGCCTTCGCATTCGACGAGGAGCTTCAGCGATACTTCATCCGGGCATATCAGTCTGATCTGGACTTCGGCACGCTCTATGCACAGCTATCTTCGGATCACCCGCCGGCCAGCCATTACCGCATTGCCGATGGGTACTTGCTCCTCCACTCGAGAGGCAAGGACTTACTATGTGTCCCATGCGACCGTCGTCTTCCGACTCGCCTCCTCGGCGAGTATCATGATTCGCGACTCGCCGTCCATTTCGGAGTCAACCACACTATTGCACGGCTTCGACAGCGATTCCGATGGCCTGACCTCATTACCGATGTCACTCGGTATTGCGACTCATGCGAAGTTTGCCGACGCAGCAAACCCCGCAACCGGAATCCCTATGGCGAGTTACACCCGATGCCTATCCCACGGGAACCCGGTCTCTCCATTGCCATGGACGTCACCGGTCCGTTTCCTCGCGACCGGCTCGAGCACGACGGCATCCTCACGGTTGTGGACCGATTGAGTAAGTACGCGCGTTTTCTCCCTTGCAAGTACTACTCCACGGCTCCAGAGCTGGCACACCTCCTACACACTGGTTGGATTTGTGGCCACGATGTACCAAAAGACATTGTCATCGACCGCGACACTCGTTTCATGTCGGCGTTTTGGACTGCTCTCATGCAGGAGTCCGACACAACAATGAAACCAAGTTCGGCTCGACATCCTCAGACACACGGGCAGTCGGAGCGGGCACATCAAACCGCTCAAATGATGCTTCGTACGCTCATCCGTCCGGACCAGAAAGATTGGGTTGACCGCCTCCCCGACATCGAGTTCGCCTACAACACTTCGGTGCACCCGGCGATCGGCTTGACTCCATTCGAGTTGCACCACGGTGGATGGAAAGGCCGTATCTTCGCCGACCTTCTCCTCCCTCGACCAGCCGACATTGACGCTGCCTGCTCTCCCACTTCCGTCCGGAAGTACAGGGAATTGCTGACTCAAGCCCGCGCAAATATGCAAAAGGCTCAAGTCCGCATGCAGCAGCAAGCCAACAGGCGTCGCGTACCATGTCCCATCCGCGCCGGTGATCTGGTTTGGGTCTCTGCGGAAGAGTTTGCACTGGAACAGGATGTTTCACGCAAACTGCTTCCCAAGTGGTTTGGACCTTGGTCTGTGACAGCAGCCGCGGGCGATGAGCCCGATGGCCCTTCATTTGTGATCAACATTCCAGAACATCTCCATCCGGTCTTCCACGCCTCGAAGCAGGCAACATACACGCCAGCCAAGAGCGACGACTTTCCGGGCCGACGATCGCAGGACCTTCCCTCCTCTATGGATGGTCATCAGGAAGTTGACCGCGTCATCTCCGATCGCAAGTACGGCAGCAAGCTGCGGCAGTACAAAGTCACATTCAAAGCATGCGATCGCGACGACACTCRGTGKATTTCAGGCGCAGATTTGAAAGCATCCGCACCGCTGATCTACGCGCATTATGAAAAGCGGAGGTTAGCTCAGGAAGCTTCACGACCAGCCCCTCCCACCCGGACTGTGGTCCCTCCCTCAGACAGACAGCTTCGCCCTCGCAGGTAAGCTCGGTTCTTCAAGGAGGGGGGGGTGTGGCATACTGCGTAGCCACACGGGCCCTGCAGGGCCAGTCCCGGACATTCAGCCTAAAAGCCTAAAACTTAGGGCTTACAGGCCCCGGTCGTTTCAGCCAGAAAGCTGAAAAACGAGGGCCTGCAGGCCCTACTTCGCTTCAGCCTATTTCTGGGTCCTTCAGACTCAGAGTTTTTTCAGCCTGAAACGGAGGGCCATTTTAAGGCCCTCATTGTTTCGACCTACCCCTAAGACTCAGGCACGTAAACAGGGATGCGGAACAGGCCAGAAATAGCCTGTTCCTCACGAGCTTGAGCAGGAGCTGCAGCTGCAGCCCCTGCCTCCCCTCGGCATTGGCAAGAGCAGCCTCCTGGACTGCTCGCACGAGTCAGGAGGCACACACCCGAGTAGTACATAGGACTGTCCTAGGCACTTCACGGGTAGGTAGTCAGACAGTAGTCAGGTGTAGTCTTCAAGATAGCGGAGCAGCACTCAGGAGGAGCGCTGCCCAGGGTAGCTTAGCGCTAGTGTAGTCTTCAGCGTTGGGCGCCATAGCTGTAGTCTTCAGCGCTGGGCGCTATAGTAGTAGTAGTAGTGATATGGGACAGAGGTGACTGGCGGAGGCCAGTAGTACTTACCTGTGGCGCCATCGCTCCAGCTCCATCTTCGAGGTACCTGCATCACAGCGCCACCTTCACAGGTTAGTACTGGACTGAGAGAGAGAGAGAGTTCTTCTTCTTCCTCTTCTAAGTCCACCATCTCTTCTTCCCCTCTCGCTGCCTACTTCTCAGTATCTGTGGACTACGAGAGAGAGATATGACTTGAGACTTGACGACATTGGATACAGACTCGACATTTGGATTCAGACATTTTGACGAGGGACTATTTGGGCCTGTGCCGAAGACTTGGTGTTGACGACATTCCCATCTGTCCCTCCTCTTCGTCTAACCCCCCTCATCTTCGTCTGTGTATGTGTGGGGCTGGCGCAATCTTCCTGTGTGAAGCGCCAGACCCCTTTCACACTCAAGGATGATGATGATGATGTATGTTATGGACTGCATTGCAACGTTGATTGATCGGATCATTGGTATCTAAGTCTTCCGTTTGCGCCATCTTGTACTTTGCATTGAGAGGTCGGTTCTTGTTCTGGTCTGCACGTTATAGTATGCAACATCTAGGGATCGAGCCCTGGGATCTGCATCTGCTACCACGAAGGTGAAAACCATTTGGCTTACATCATCTGACAGATCAAAACACAGTTGCCTTAGTACAGCAGCTAGTACCAATCAAGTGTTGTGAAATTTGGGCAGCATCTTTAGTTCAAGGCTCTGGTTATTGACAAAGCCTAAGACCACTGCGTTTGCAGCTGAATTCCTGTTTTTCGTATCCTCTCTCTTCCATCTATGGTAGTTGAATGGCATTCCACGATGCCGACCCCAAATCCGAATCTCAGGGTCAAAAGTCTCAGGCCAAGAGGGGCCAAGTTGGCCAGTTTCAGAAAAGCGAAGTTTGGTGCCCCAGAGCTCAGCAATCACATCCCAGAGGCAAAAGTGACATTCCATAGGCAAAGGTTACATCTCGCAGTCAAAAGTCATATTCCACAGGCAAGGGTAACGACCAATAGGCAAAGTCACATCCGGAAGTCAAAGGACATATCCTACAGGCAAAGGTCATGTCTCACATACAAAGGGGCATATTCCAGAGATGAAAAGTCGTGACTCACAGGCCCAAGCAGCAGCACACCAAGGAAAATTAAGGGTTCTGAAGCAAACAGGCCGTGGGCATGTGGTACCAGGTCCAAGTCAAGCCAAAGGAAACAGAGGCTGGGACGAGTCCAAGCTCAGTCCAAGTCAATATAAGGACTGGCCAGCCACATTTCAGACAGATTGCTCACTCATGAGAACTGTGGAGTGTTGCTGAAGCGCGTGTGCGCTGTCCGCAAGAGGCATGCACGAGAGCCCTGGCTGGGCAGCGCTGAGGAAGGAAGGTGGCCATAGCCGCACAACTGGTAGTAGGGGATGGAGCTGAGTAGTAGCGGATGTATCCAGAGTCAAGATCTTCAAGTAGAGAGAGAGAGAGAGAGAGAGAGAGAGAGAGAGAGAGAGAGAGAGAGAGAGAGAGAGAGAGAGAGAGAGGAGAGTCACCTACCTTGGATGAGGATGCTCCGATGCTGAATATGGTTTGCTGAACCCTGCGCTGTTGGGCGCTTGGTGACTGGAACTCTTCACTGTTTAATATGATAATTTGTTGGAATTTCTAAGTTGCGCTATTCTGGGCTGTGCATCTCTGGTCTCCAGTGTGGACCTCGTGTGATCTCTCAATGTGTGTGTTTTCTCAAGGTGACGACCAGAGAGGCTCAAAGCAATTGGTATCAGAACCGGTACTTGCTGCATCCGCTGTTGATGGTGAACACTAGCAGGAGTAAGGCCGGCGAGACAGGATTTGGAGTTTGACAATTGGGCTGGAGGCCGAAGAAGGAGTGGCCAGGTTGGGGGGAGGATGATTACGTACGTCCATACAAGGAGTGCTGAGGAGCTTCATCGAAGGAATATTCACAAGTGAAGTGCATCGGCCCCTGAAGCCCTACATTTTTCTATGCTTCAATGAATGAATGAGTGTTATGGTACCTTCCCACATCTTGGTGCTGCTGCTGCTGGACAGAACACTTGGTGACATATCTGATTTTGTCTTGAGTCAGCATCTGGTCAGACACATGTGCATGAAGTAGGTTGTGTCTAGGATAGAAGCTCGGCAGTTGGATGCATCACCGAAACATAGGAAGCAAGGGCATGAGCGGCGAACGCTCGAAAAACAACTCGTCTAGCCCTAAGACCGATACTGACCGGCATGCGACCGAACCGGTGTTGACGCAGTGAGGAGCTGTAAGTCTTGAGAGCGAGCCTTCAGGTCCTGGTGGGCATGACGTCCTCGTTAAAGAATTCATGAGGTCCTTATTGGTTGACCTTAAGCTGTTGGTTGGCCACCAGCCTAACAGGGTAGCTCTAGTGACACTGTGGGGAGGGAAGAACTCAAATAGGTCAGACTCCAATCTCGATTAGAGAGTTTAAGTGTTGAGGGTGAGGTATACGTGGTGAGGAGGTGGAGGCTAACTACTAATGCCTTCAGCAACCATGGATGACAACCCAATGTTCGCAATGGTGACCCTGTCCGTGCTATGGGGTCCACTCCTTTGTTTCCTGTTTTCGTTAGGGTTCCATTGGGCTTGCGGCATGAATGTTACCATGTGGTCTGGTGGGTCTACACTGCCATACATAGCAGAACAACAAGCCGAAATTGATAGTAAATTGGCTGAGAAGAAGAAAGAGAAGGAAGAGAAAAAGAGAAAGAACGAGGAGGAGATCAAAGAAAAAACAGGAGCAGGAAAGAAAGAAGATGGAGAACGAGATGAAGAAGAAGAAAAAGAATTAAAAACAGAGTTGGAAGAAGAAGACGGGGAAGAAGAAGGAGTAGTACTGTAACGAAGAAGGACTAGACAAGAAGGGGAGGAAGTGGTTGAGAGCTGCCATGCAGGTGAGTTGAAGCTCCGACAGGTTTGAGATATAGAATGGGTGGCAAATTTTGGGTTTCCCACAAAGATGCCAGATGAGACAGAACAAGAAAAAAATGGATTCACCATCAAAATGGCATCTGCAGCAGATGAGGACGAGATATTTCTTTTGTTGGAGGAGAGGAGAAGCACCCTTAACCGGCGTTTGGTTTAGCAGAAAAGGCAGAGACTATAAAGAGAAGAAGGGATTGGAGGAGGAAGGGGAAAGGTTCCAGACCCTGTTGAAAGAATAGAAATGAAAAGAAGTTGAAGTTAAGGAAAGTTTGGGCCACCTTACTGACACCCTGCGGCACACCACCCAAGAACTAGTTGCGCTGAAAAGATCCATTGGGAAAGTAGAGCGACATCAGGAAGAGTTCAAGGGCACATGAAACAACTTCCTTTGTGCTTCCTTCAACATGGTAGATAAAAGAATCCTTGACTACGCCCATCAACCAGACGGATTTACCCAGAAATTGAAGAACACCATCCCGTTTGGAGCCTTAGGAGGTGGCGATGGTGGGGGTGATGGTGAAGATGATGGCGATGATAAGAAAGGAAAGCGTCCCATGAAGGATGGAGGAAAAAAAGGTGGAGAAGACGAGTCAGAGGGAGGAGAACGAAGGGAAAAGATGAACGTTAAGGTCCCTTTGACATGCACTAAGAAGAGGGAGGAAGCATTTTCCACTCGGAGGTGGCGATGGATACATACCTGTATGCGCAGTTGATTTCATATTGGAACTGCGTACTTATGGCAAGTTCATGACTTGGGGGAGACACAACAAGCTTTGTTATTTCACTAGTGAAAAAGGTCGTATGCACCTCGATGGTGCAATACTCACAACGCACTAGGATTGAGGACTTCTTTAAGGTTTTGAAAAACCGATTCAAGGATAAAAACTTAGTTCGCCGTACTGAGCACCTCATCCTTAACACTAATGACAGCAAGTGAATGAGTGTGTCGACACTCAAGGCCACTATGGACGAGCTGCTGCAATGTCTGGACCATGGGCTGACCCCCGCTCAGTTTCTTAATAACTTTGCTAGAGAGTTGCCAGTCAGTGTCAGAGCCCCCCAAAACCCAGTTATATCCTCGCACTAAGGAGGAGGGGATGACTTATAAGAAGTTTAGCAAGACAGTTGTCGACCATGCAGGGTCTGCAAGAGACAAACTATTGCCACTACTGGAAGGATCTGCATATCGGCAGTATAGAAGGTAAGGATAATTTGCTGGTCACCTTCGAAGAAGGAGGTGTAGAGTTGTTACCATACAACTAGATGGACCATGGATTAAGAGAGGATAACAACAACCAAGTAGCCCGGGGAGGGGACTATGCGGCAATTGCAACCAGTGTGGAAGGGCGATAAGGTAGAGGTCAAGGTAGAGGAGGCCGAGGTAGAGGAGGCCGAGGACGGGGTGGAGGTCGAGTACCTGCTGCCAGAGAGATGGTGACGAAGGTAGCTACTACGCAGGAGGTAGGGGTTATGGTCCCTTGC